AATCAAATTAAGTAAAATTAATATTTTAAAAAATAATATTTTACCATTTTAATAGCACATGGACTGAGTTTTTATTTTTTGGTTTTTTTTTTTTTTTTGGAAAATGACTAAGTTTTTATGTGATAGAAGAGTGGTATTAACCCAATAGGATGATTTAATAATTAAAAACTTAAAATTTTAATTTGAAAATCTTAAATTCGAGTCTTGAGTCAGATGAGGAAGGATTGAGGATAAAGGAGGATTATTTCCTTTTATATAACTTATAATTAAATGTACCAAAAAAAAAAAAAGAATAGTGGTATTGGAAATTAGACTAAAAATAGTAAAAAGATTAGACAGAAGGAAACGATAATTGGAAATTAGAGTAGAATGGTAAAACAGGCTGCTTCAGGTCCTCATTAAGTGACGGCCCAATTCAACAAAATGGACCCAATGTTTCTACGTAAAATAATCCGATCCAATTAGACGTCCATACAAACTAGTGGTGAGCATTTTTAGGCATAAATCGGATATAAGTTATATTTAATGCTTAATTTAAAAATTTTTAAGTATAATTTTTTAGACTTAATATTTATCCAAATACTTGAATACCTTGACTTGGTACCTAACCTAATAGTTATTAGGTAACTTATGGATATATATTTGTGTACTTGACTTAAGGAAAGAAGAGGCCTTGTATGAATTAATATTATTGTGTGTCTTGTGTATGGTTTGGAATTTTTTATTTATACAAGTTATTATTATTACATGTGATTTTTTAAGATTAGGGATTATTTCTATGCTATATTATTTTTATTTTAAAAAATTATTGTTATTATATGCATATAAAGTATATAAATATAAGTAAAATTTCAATTATATAACTACGGTAACAAGTTAGTTAAATAAGTCGGTTAAACAAATCTGATAAACAATTTTAAACTCTTATATTTGTTACTTAATTTGATACTTACGGGTATACAGTTTTCATACCATTACTTACCTAATTTTTTTATAGTTCGGGTATGAAACTTATCTAAACAAATAATATACTCACAAGAAACAGGCGTACCCATATCCAATGTTCACCCTTAATACAAACAAAAGCATCATTCAATCAAATAATATGTTATCTGAATTTTTTTTTTCTTTTACAAAGGGAAAGGTGGAATAATTTTTCTTATTTTTTTAAGAAAGGGAAATGTGGAGGATGGGAAAAATTGAAGAAAAATTTAAAAAAAAGTTAAGAGAAACAAATCCAAATTGATTTCAGTCTGGTTATCACTAGCACTGAATTTTATTGATTAATTAAAGTCTACTTAAGGGACAAATCCAAATTAATTTCAATCAGGTGATCTTATTTTCTCCAACAAATCAAACTAGATGATATCATTGGAAATTGAATTACTCATATTAGCCATGAGTTTTATCTTTGATATATCAAGATATGAACTAAAACATAATGATTTGATATTAAAAGAACTTGATGCATATAATCCTGTCTAACTAAGTGAAAAAAGTCAATCATATAACGGTAATAATATAGCTATAATATCATATAAGATTATAAATTCACAAACCTATATCACATTACAATCCTATAAAACGTTAAATAAATATAATGTAACATTTAATGAGTAGGCTCATAAAATATTACGTGTAAACTCATGAATAAAAAGAATTAATTATATAAAAACACATGATATAAATTTATAATATCACGTGACATTGTAAGCATACCATTTTTTTTATCTAGATTATACAATACGAGATAACTCTCTCTCATACCTTAACTCACCTCGCATACTAGGAGTGTTCATACCTGGTAGCATTCTTAAGATCACTAAGCTTTTGTGCAGCGGCTGCCAAAGTAGCAATACTTTTGCAGAAGGCAAACCTTACATATCTCTTCTGGTAGTTGCAACTTGCCTCAGATAATGGTTCCATAGAAAGCTTTTTATGAAAAAATCCACATCCTGGTACGGCAACCACCCCTGCCTCTTTTATTAATTCCTTAACATATTCTACCTGGAAAGAACAGAATCATCATTTATACCACATAAACAAACTATTAGCAGAATTTCTGGCATTATAAAAGTCAAATTAATATATGATCAATTCTTAGAATGAATGAAGCTCCAAAGTTTAAAAAGAAAAAAAATGTACATCTACCTACATCAGATAGCAAGCAATCCTTAGGAAGCTCTGCAAATAAAAAGATGGAACCTTGGGGCTTAAAATGAATTTGAAAACCAATCGAGGTGAGCACCTTCGCAATGAAATCCCTTTTAAATTCATATTCCTGCTCATAAATAGAAAATAAATATGCAAAAAGGTGACGGTGAGAGCATTAGCATGATCTTGCATTTTGTGTTATAACAATACGTAAGCTATGGTCATTTACTCCACAGTGACAAGTAAAAGACTAAAACATGGCTATGTCCAAGGAACCTACTTTTTTCAGTCCTTCAAAATATTCAGGGGGGCTTGTCAAAGCAGTTAAGGCAGCTTCTTGGAAAGGTGCTGGAGCAGAATCTGTAATTTTGACATGAATGTTTCGGATTGCAGATGCAGCAAAAGCTGGAGCAATAGCCCATCCAATTCTCCAACCTAATACTCATAACAGTGAGTATCACTCTGTTTCTATATCAAAACTAGACGTAATAATTAAGAACCAGTTATTGAGGGAGACTGGAAATTATGCCACAATACAGTAGACAGAGGAAAATGATTGTGGCACATCTACCTGAAAAACGTATTAAGAACAAAATGAGACATCACCCCAAACAAATTCAGACCTAAATTCTGTGGATAAGATGTTTTTTATTTGACCTGTAACACTAAAAGTTTTAGACAAGGAGGATGTGATGATAGTTCTCTTTTGCATTCCTGGGAGTGAGGCAAGAGATATATGTTTCTTGTCATTGAATGTTATGTGCTCATATACCTGCAGAAACAAGTATGAAGACAAAGCAATCCTCAGACATCAATGAAATAGGTCGACATTTTCTTTCTTTTAGACAGAACTGCCACTACAGATTACAGATGACAATTGCACTCTGCTTAAGGAAAAATGAATAAAAATTACATGACAATTAACCACTCAGAATGTTTATTTCAGTTAGGGAATTTGACAAACAGCGGCATGATGTCAAGTGTATTATAAGATGAACTTCTGATATTTGCAATTCTGTCCATATATATAAAAGCAATGGTTTTAATTTCCTCTCTTTATGCGTACTGTTCTTCTATGTACTTCATCAGCACTCTGCTCAGTTCAAGCCTTGTAAAAAATGACAATATGAAGTGTTGCCTAATATCCAGTAATCAACTGGAAAGTGACCTACTTAGCCCAAAAAAAGGAAAAAAAAAGGGGAATGACACCTATGCATAGCCTCATGTTTTAAATTCAAATACTACCTTCAGGAAAAAAATAATAATAAACAACTTAAAAAAACTTATAGTTTTACCCAGCTTATATAGTCTACATTGGGACAAAGGTCTCCACACATTAGAACTGCTCAGTGAGACACTGTAGAAGCATGTATCATGCATGTTCTGAACAAGTGACATATTCAACCATATACCTGTTTCACTTTTCACAAATATTAACAAAAATATTCTCATACTTCATCTGTTATAGCAAGGCAATCCCATCTGCAGCAGGCTTCAGCGATCACTTCAAGCTCTTCCTTAGAGAAAACTTTGCCAGTTGGGTTGTGAGGGCTGTGCAAGGCCAGTATCAGTATGTTGAATAACAATATAACAAGCACCTTATCTTAGTCTTTTTAAACAGTTTCATGCATACAGCTAATGTCATACAGGTAATTATATTTTTGGATTTTGAAACCAAAGTACATCTTTTTATTTTCTAACTTAATCTTCCTAACCTGTTCAAAACAATAGCTTTTGTTCTGCCAGTAAAAGACTTCAACAACTTGCCAGGGCAGAAGGTCCATTGAGGTGGATCAAGGGCAACATATACCTGCAATAAGCAATCCGTAGTTTTTACAATCAAAAGTACTAAATCTCTAGGCTTTAAGGGCAACACAAGAACTTACTGGGACTCCTCCCGCCATGGTAATGCACCCTTCATAAGTTTCATATGAAGGATCAAATAGCACAACTTCATCTCCAGTGTCAATTACTATCAAATGAATTGCCATTTGTACATAAGAATACCCAAATTGAAGCAAGAAATTGCATATTAGGAAGAAAACACACCAGCGAAAATCGCTGCTGCAAATGCCTCAGTTTGTCCACAGCAAATGGCTATATCCGTTAGAGGATTAACATCCAAATCATGCATTTTCTTCATTGCCGCGGCCAGGTGGTCACAAATTCCTTGCACATGCCTTTCATTACAGCAATTAGGAATTCAGGGCAATTAATCTCTCCCAAAAAATATATATAGAGAGAATAATAAGTAGATTTTTTTCTACATTTGTGGAAATTAACAATCATTATCATGAACATGCATATCCAGCAATTAATGCAACTTCTAAAAAATTTGCATAAACAACAGTAAATGATGTGAGGCAAACCTGTACTGGTTGAAGTCGGAATTAATGGCGGATACAGCAACGTCTTTGATTTGGAGAGGAGCGGGGAAGTCCGGGAAGCCCTCGGCGAGGTTGATGGCGTTACATCTCTGAGCGAGATGAGAGAGTTCTTGTATGGGAGAAGGGGTAAAGTTCTTCGCCACGGAGGAGAGCTTCTCTTCCATGGCGCGGTCCGCTCTGAATTATGATTCCTGTTTGTGTTTACTTCTCCGCCTTATCCAGTCGCTTACTCGGTTTTCGTTCTGAGTTAAAGCGGCGATTTGTGCCGGTGCCGCCAAAAGAAAAAGGAGCGGATTTCGGTGCGGTTTAGGAAGAGTGCTGTTTTCCCATTTACCTCATTTTTTTTGTTTAGAGGATGATTTTTTAGTCCCTAATTACATTAAATAAAATAAAAATGATTTAATTATAATATTATAAGTATATAATATGACATGGTATTAATTAAGGTATTTATGTTTTTGTTATTTGCAAATCATACAATAAAAAAATTTGAATTCAAAATTTTTAAAATTATTATTCAGCAAGTTATTATTAGTAACTTCATTATGTTTATTTTTAGTAATTCAATGGCTTAACTGCATTGGTAAGAATGCACCAAGGCCATGAGTAGGGTCATAGTTCCATTTGCAATTATATGGATGATTGCATTTGAGATTGTGATTAGGGACTTTACTTTTATAATTATATAATGCTTTTAGATATATGTATATTTAATAAATTTTTTAATTATCTTTTTTTAAGTTATAGAAAACTACAACAGTTGTATAGTATTTTTATATTTAAAGTTAGAAGTCTCGTTTTGAATCTTTTAGACTATATTTTTATGAATAAAGATAACAACAGGTCTCATGAGACAGTGGTTGTCTACCCATCCTATTTTTACTAAGATTTTGTAGAGAATTTTTGGCAAAGGTAAAAAAATCCTCTCAATCCTCAGCCCGTATGCTAAAAAGCATCTATGTCAAATTTTCTTCCAGATAAGCATCAAAAAATAATTTCTTTTCAATGATTTATTTACAATAAAAATTATTGTTTTTTATCACTATTTTGTTTAATTATAGTTTTTTTTTTTTAACTTCCATCTTCTATTTGTTAAGTTGGGTTTCACAGAACTCTTAAAAAATAAATAATTAAATATCAAAATATATTTTTATTACAACAATAATAATATAATACAATCACAATTACAGTTACAACTACAACTACAATATTTCACAATAATCTCAAATGCATTCTAGATCTATGTATAAGTTGTAGCCCTTCCCTAAATTACCCAAAGTAAAAGAAAAAGTCTTTTGATAATTAGGGAATTGTTCGCATAAAAAATAGAGGGAAATAATTTTGAGACAACCTTTTTGTATCATATTTTGGTATAATTTAACGTATCATTTAAATGATTAGCTCTTTTAATTTACATGGAACTTATGATATTAAATGCATCAACTCATTTAATAACTTATTAAAGTTATCTCAAAATGTGAGATAAAAAAATTGTCTCTATAACACTACTCAAAAATAAATGCAAGTGAGGAATATGTTTGGATTTTAACAAAGTCGAATTTATTATTATTTTTTTACAAACAAAGACTAATTTATTATAATGCTGAATAATGGGTTTTCTATTAATTTTATTTTTTTTATTTTATATTGTAAAATGATAAAAGAGAGTTATTCTTCCCATTTTACTTAACCCGTCTAATAATTTAAATATCATATTATTCAAATTTAAAAATTTTTATTCTAATTGAGAAAAACTATAATGTCAAATGATTTTTTTTTTTCAATCAATAGATTCATATATCATATCACAAGTTTATATAAAATTAATTTTCCTTTTCATAGTCTCTTGCAACAAGTAGCTGTGTTGAAAGTGTACCTATCAAGAATGGCTTTGAGCACAATTCGAGTTACAAAGAAGTATTGCCTTTATAAAATTCGCTCTTTACCAGATTATTGTGTAAAAGAAAATCCTTTGCATAGAAATCAATTGATTGATTTCCTCGCTAAGAGGACAATACATTTCGATACATAGAAAATCTTTGGAGTTACATCTTTGGAGCTTATACCACTTCTTTTAGTATTGAAAATAATTTTACGACACTTCTTTTGTTATCGGGTTACTCAATGAAAAAGACTTTCTTTCCTTCTTTCTTCTTTTTCATCTTCCTTTTTTTTTCTAATAAATAAATAAAAAGTAAGTATTAAGTTGTATTATAAAAAATTAAGTAAAAAATTTTAAAACTACATAATTTTAATAAAATATTACATGAAATGATAACAAATACTTTAATTCATGTTTTAAAAATATTATTATTTAATT